ACCTAACCACTGTCATGAATCCGGTGTTCATCTTGTTGTGCTGATGCGGTATGGCAACCTGAACCGATGTACACATGTGCCTGGTCCTACGTTGTAGCTGACTGACTGACTGCATTTGTATGGATGCAATTCATTTCACTTTATTAGCACTTATAAACAGAATTTGACTCATAATATCAACTGTTGAAATTTGTGGCGGCCCGTAATCTGACTCCAATTCAGATTGTATGAGTGTTTGCTATCGCCTATTCTCGTATATCATCGTCGACTTAGATCGCGTTATCCAATAACGGAATTAAATAAGTCGAATAACGAGAATTGACTTGACAATACATATATTTCGTACGTAAAGTGAATGAAACAGAGCCAAGCAAAATGACGCACAGGGAGGATGGCTGGGAAGCCAACTCCATTTCAAGCAAGGCATTACTTAATATTTATAGGCGGACAAAATAAACGACAGACATGTGATAAGTCACGGGACATGAAATGTACACACATACGCTCATATGAAAACAGTCAAGGCTAATAAGCGAATAATTAACAAGGTCAAAATATGACTCAAATAAAATGAATTAAATAGGATGTCCACAAGTTAGAATAAGGTAGATGGGCTTGCCATAATAGCTGACACTACATAGCCCCCTTGTAGAAAATAGCACATTTAAAAAATGTCTGTTTTCGAAAATAACAATGAAGTGATATGAAGTTAACGTTAGCAACAAGTAGCGAAAAAAAATTGTACAACACTCGATAAAGTACAGTGTCACATGAGGGGTGAGTGTATTATATGAAAATGTCATACTTATGTAAAAGAATACATGAATATAGAAAAGACGCGGTAAAAAATGGAAACGTTAACATGCGAATATGAGCAAATTAATGAGCGTACAAAAAATTAACATGTACTAATGCTATGACTGTCTGAACAATAAAATAACACGTTCATATGAGCGATTCAAAATATCGTGAAAATAGTGATAAATTGTTTGTGGGTACGACTGCGAAACAAATCGTGAAAATAAGTAATGTATAATATGACAGAAATTGGTCTGTGGTGCTGACAGAATAGTGAAATATGTTAAATATATGTTCCGTTGAGCCGCAGTAGAATAGATAGCATCGATTAGTGATGAGTGAATTCGAATTTAAATGCATAGTTCCCGTTCGTAGAATAATAATAGGCAAGTCGTGAAATGATAACCGCATTGACGGGTGATATTCGTTGCTGTACTGCAATTGATAATGATCATAAAATATGAAGTCAGTGAATGTTGTCGTCTGTGTTATGACAGATGCATTGAGTTATCGTTGAATATGTATTAGTAGAATGACCAGAGGAACAGAATAGTGACTGAGTAGACGAAGTACGTAGAGTCGTATTCCCTTTTTGGTCATGAAGCCTAGAGTGGTTTGTGTGGTTTGAGGGAGATGTGCTCGATCTCGTTTGTTACAAAACCGTACCAAGGCATGACAAAAATACCAATACATATGATTAGCGATGGCGACGTATGAGACTGACTTGGATGTAAGGAACAAGAGTGTATCTTTGAGAGACTAGCTCTAAACTCTATGTTCTGATATACCGTGCGATGGGTATAGAATAGTAGTTGCAGTACTGGAATAACGTCTTTGGGTAATTAATGATGCGGCATGTGGTTATACATGTGAAAGAATAGATAAGATGAACGTAATGGTTTCCAATCAGCTAGTTAGATGCATCCACAGACATAATAGGAGGCGATGAAGAATGTGTGTTATGATAAAATAAAATAATGACCTCGACTAAGTGAATGAATGTAATATTAGGTCAAAATGACATGAAAAATTGGAACGAACTCACTTAAAGCAGGAAAATTTCATGTTTTTGAATAGTAAAAATATTCCAGTGAGTTTTGAATGTCAGAAAGTGGAGTATTCATAAAATGATAATCTGTTCGGTGAGCAATATGATTGCGAAAATGTCATAATTTAATGACAGCATGAACATGATTATTAATTCCACATTCGGTTATGATATTGAGAATAATGTAATAATAAGCATATAATGATACTTCGGATCATGATGGAGCAAACCGACGAATGGATCAATGAGAATAGTTGACATGAGGACAAAGTATCGATAAGATAATACGACTTGAGCATGTCCATGTCATGTTGCACAGGCTGTGCTGGTTGCGTCGGATTGGAGATTGCGCTGGCTTCGCTGAATTTGTTCGCCGAACGTATAGAATGCAGAAGTTCCTTCATCGACGTAGCTTGCTGCGTTGCGTTCGTCGTCGTCGGGCTTACCATTTTGGTCGTCGAAAATATGGAGTGCCGACGTTCATTCATCGACGTAGCTTGCTGCGTTGCGTCCGTCGTCGTAGGGCTTACCAATGTGGCGGCCCGGGACGCGCAGGGAAGATGGCTGGGAAGCCAACTCCATTTCAAGCAAGGCATTACTTAATATTTATAGGCGGACAAAATAAACGACAGACATGTGATAAGTCACGGGACATGAAATGTACACACATACGCTCATATGAAAACAGTCAAGGCTAATAAGCGAATAATTAACAAGGTCAAAATATGACTCAAATAAAATGAATTAAATAGGATGTCCACAAGTTAGAATAAGGTAGATGGGCTTGCCATAATAACTGACACTACAAATTACTACAATCTCCACAAAACCCCTACTGATACTAATCAAAATATGCTCACTAGTGACTGGCTTCAATAGGTATGTCCTGGAGTTCTAGTGAGAAGCAGTGACCAGTGGAGTTCAACCGGGTCAGTTGTGAGATAGAAAGCCACTGATGACAATGGTGGATGTGTCGCTCAATTTTGCGGATTAGTTGAAGTTAAACATTAACACCGTTAGATGCCAGCCAGTTCAGTGATCTAGTGGTTAAGCGCTCGCGTGCAAGACTGATGTGTCCTGGGTTCTAATCTCGCGAGGCGGGATCGTGGATGCGCACTGCTGGGGAGTTCCACAGTAGGACGAAACGGCCGTCCAGTGCTTGTAGGTTTTCCATGGTGGTCTAGCTCCGATTGACTCGTGATCTCAACTCTTGAAATTACTACATTCTCGACAAAATCACGCCAATTTTTTTATTAACTGTAAAAGCATTTCATATAATCTACATCGCACCAAATAGTAATGAATTCCCTTGTAAATGGTCAGATTTCAGATTAAAACGCATCCAGTAATTATCATAGTGATGTTTAGACATTATTATGCTCTTATTTTTTTGAAAATTGGTATTACTTTTTAGGCCTTATATATTTTATTTGAATTTCCTAGGTCGTTTGATGACAAGATACATTTTTTAACAATTGGTGACATAAAATTAGGCTTTCGTCCTACATAAAAAATAAAATTCACGTATTAAATCTTCATGTTTTATTGATTTTCTAAGGTGCATCGAATTCTGATGATCTTACTTTCCGTGTTACTGGCATTGGACACACAAAACAGTCAACGATGTAGTGATCAATGAACAAAAATAATGTTATATCGTTAGTGGTAATGCCTTGGTACTAGAGACTGGCTTTTGACATCCTGTCTGGATCACTTCACTATAGTCATTTTGTCGCAAGTTATGTAGAGTAAATGTCTTGTTGCTTGCAGTGACACCCAGGACGCGTGTTTCATCCTATCTGGGACTCTTCAGTTGGATCTACTTTTAAACCCGTGCTTTTATTTACGCGAGGGCTTTAATCTATTGCCTTTCGTTTTGAACATGTAGCTTGTTATTTACTGGGTTGCTGACTCCAAATGACTATTAAATTGTTTAATGTGTATGATATTTAGATCAATAGTAGCAAGGGTTTAAATTATACGCTTTTTATATTAAGGAAGACACTATTTAAACTATTATGACCGTGATATGCATATACAAGCCTACCTTATAGACTTGATAGTAATGAAAAGTTTGAATTAACGTCGTTTTGTCAGTAAAATTAATAGCTGTACAGGAAAGTGTTATTAGTCAAATTTTAAAATTAGGTACATTCATCTGTTATTACTGTGCTCAGTCTGCTGAGTCTGAAACTTTCTTGCACTGGGATAGTTTACTAGAAACACATTACTTCATGAGCGTTAAATAAAGTTTCATTTAATAATGAATGAAAGGAATTCGGCGAAAATTTTCCTTTAAAATCATATTGTTCTATTCTTTATGAACTAGTTCATACTATCCTTATAAACTGACTGGATTATACATCTTATGCTTGTAAATATGATCTAAATACTGTTGAACGTTTATGGATATTTGTAAATCAACTTAAATTTAGACTTTCGTATTATTTTATAGTTTTAAAAAGAAATTAATTCTCGTATGATTTAGTATGTTTTCAGAAAAAAAACATAAGTTAACAATATTGTTTACAATTAGATGTTCATTAGGCCTTGATATACGACAATATTTACATGGATATATGAGAATATTAAACCAATCAAGGCAGTTTAAATAAATGATTAGTAGAAAGTACTGATTTATAGTCTAATGACATGTAACTAGTCGTGATGAGATTTATTTCACTTCAGTTAGTGCTTGTCATCAATTTTTAATTTACATTCAAAATAGAGGACTTGATGCACATTAAATCGAACATAGGAATTAAAATACTTCTGTTTTGATTCAGTCACATATCATTTGGATCATGTATTAATGCGTATTATTTCACTAGATCCATAGTCTTCAACGCGATTAGGTTTGACTGCTGTTTCTATTAGAAAAATGATGACAACTTTTAACTAGTATTTTAAACTAGATGAAATGTGGCTAGCAGCGGAATCCAGAACACTTGTTACGTTCTATTTAGGATTCGTCAGCTGAATATACTTGAGTCTCAGAGTTGATGCTTACTCTGGATCTCGAACCTAGTACTGTTCGCTTCAAAAGCTAACGTGTTATCCAAACCATTAAAAATCGAGTTAATATTGTCGATATTGAGATATGCTTCATGTAGATTTCAAGCTGTTTGTTTTATCCTATTGTTTCTTTTTACAGTTGTCTGTCTGAACAAGGAATTGATTATTGGTTGGTAAATAAAAGTGACGTGTGAGTCTGAATATTTTTCAGGGGTTCACGTGGTTAATCTTGACATCCTCTTATTATATCGCACATTGACTGATGTTAGAAGATGAAAACTAATGAGATTTAATTTACCTCTGGATATTAATGTAATTTTCACGATAGCTGAAATTTTGTGGGATATCCTCTTTGAAAATGGCTTAACGAAAGCGCTTTTGAGTCATCCTAAGTAAAGACTAGACACTTGTTTTGTGGTCTCTGTTTGTTAAAGACACTTCAGCCTATACAATCTTGTGATGAAGATTCCCACTCTTATTGTAGCACTTGCATCTAACAAGTGTTTAATCACCCTGAACAATTATCTTTTTTCTCAAAACATGGTGTATAGATAACAAATATTTTTTCAATATCTTGATAATAAACTCATCTACTAGATGTATCCATGTTCAAAATTTTTCTTATCAGTGTAACATCATACTATTCTTATCTACCAGTAATATGGTTGACATATCTTCATAATGATAGATCATTGTTCTTCTTAACCGTATAGTACCGCTCAGAGACTCATTAGTTTCTAGATTCTCAAGGTCATTGTCGAAATCTCTTTTTGGCCAACAAAGGTAAAATATGTGGAAAACATGTGTCGTGATGGTTGTATCAAGATAATACGTACAAGATATATAAATCTCAAAAACACTGATCACATTTCAGCTAAAATATCAACAACGAAATGATCCAAACTGTTACACCCAAGGACGCTTCTGTAACTGTGCACTAACGAAGTATGGCGATGAATTCATTTTTATTCTGATCATAAGAATAGATTGGCTCTTTTCATTAATACCTTGAATTTGTTTCATGTTTTGAATTTCAATATCAACAATTCTGCACTTGTCGCAAAACTTATGAAAATCTACTTCATACATTTAGCTACTTATTTCGTCATATACTTTTTAAAACTCATTAGTCAGCAGACTTAAATATCAACATAGAGACTGGTGCAGATATGGACTAACCAAGCTACCATACTAGATTAACGCGATGAGATAAAACTAGCAAAATAGATCAAAATAATATAGTAGCGATAGTAAAAAGAAAGTGTGAGCGTTTGTAACATAATTTTAAAAGACAATGGAAAGGTATATATACTGAAATTTAAGATCAAGAGGAATATAAAAAGTGAATGCATCTACATCATTGTGAGTGATTCTGAACTTCATCCATTCTTTATCTGTTGATCGTGATTAACACGCGGACCTCAACGAGGTAGTCTGCATCTACCAACATGGATCATACAAATACTGCATAATTATGTGAACTGATGTCACGTTTTGTCTTGCTGGCCTTAGCTTAACTCATCGTGGTAGATGGCAGTTAGATATATGTTTCATCTTCAGTTGATGGAGATCCACTGCCTCATCAACCTTTAGTAAATAAGCTATGCCCAACCTTAACCTTTCTCACTCGGTCATTCCAAAAATGCGAGCAGTGCTTTAAGAATACCTATGGTCAAGTACCTTCCGTCCGTGCATGTTTTCTGCCTTCATAGACCATGTTTCACAGTAGGATTGAGCGAACTGCTGAACAGTATACACGCTCCCCCGTTGTGAGATGATTATCTCGCGTACTCCATAAATGACTTAAGTTGACAAATGACAACTGAACCTTATGAATTCGTTCCCAGATTTCCCCAGACTACCACCCACCAGGGCTGATGGTTCTTCAACGTTAAGTGGTCGGTGCGCTCAACTAATGCACTTCCTACTACTGGTTCATTTGTTGATGCAGACCAGTCCTGAAGCAACATTTTACATTATCCAAAGCACTATAAGAAGATAAAGTAAAAGGTTTTATAGGTATCAATGCTAAGATTAGACTTAATAGTTTCAAATAATTTGAGCGTTGGGTATAAAGCTAATAATAAATATGTATTTTTGTTATATCCCAATGAGTAGGCAAATTGTATTTCTGACGTTCTGTGACTTAACGTACTATTTAAACTTCTGGTAATTTCATTTCGGTTATTTGTTTACTCTGAACAAGTGGCTTACATTAAGTCACGAAACGCCAGAAATACAATTTGTGTACTCATTGGGATATAACAGAAAATGTATTTATTATTTAAAGCTTTTACTGGATTTTCCAGGAATCTTCCAGAGAAATACTTTTATGTTTGATACAAAATCATTAGTACGATTTTGGTTTATTTGGATTGTTTTTAGTACGGATGGACTGCAAGCTGCACAAAAGAAAGCTGCTTTTATACAATCTCTTAAAAATTTTCTGGGTATTGGGACTGGGATTTTCTCAACACTAATCATTGGTTATCTATCAGATAATTATGGTCGGCAATTGACGTTGGGAATTATAATATTAGGAGAAGCTTTACGAATTTTAGCTCTTAGTAGGTTATACAATAAATCTCTTAAATTATTTTTCTTTATTTTGTTATAGATTGGGTCGTGCATGAATTTACTAGAAGTCATTGCCTATTTCAGTGATGTTACAGGATGTAGACATTCAAAACATTCTATGATTAGTTTTCAGTGAACCTATGTTTAAATCTGTTAAAGCAGACTTTCTATTGGTAAAACTACCTTACGCTTATCAGTAGTATATTGTGAACTAGGTGGACTAAACCACTTCAAAGTTAATTAGTTATCCTTTTTATATATTCATATCCACACACGATTTGTAAGTTAGAGTATCTGAAAATATACCAAAATAGATATAGAAACAAATGAATTTAACCGACCCATTTAGAGCAGATTGATCTTAACTCAGCCTTTGTGCTTTCGTATAAAAATTGTCTGGGTTGGGTACTTAGGTTTGTTAATGACCTAACTGTATGGGATTTCAAACCCCTCTTGTGTGTTCAAAAACAATGTGCACTTACATCGAAACTGCTCTGGTAATATTGACTTATTATTCAATAGTGTGATTCACATTGGTTTCCTTATTATCTTCGTTTTCCTCCTATCTTTTGATTTGTCTAGTTAGTGTTTATTTGTCGTACATAAATGCTTTAACGTGTATATATGTAATTAGATCGTTCTAAATGTATTGCTCATATATATCACATATTTCTGATAAGCATCACCTTTTGATTGTATAAGTAAATTAAACAGTTAACCTACCACTTTACTACCGTCATTGAAAATTGCTAACTTAGGTGTGCAATACTTTGATATTCAAAATACCATGGTGTCCTACAATGCTAATTGTTTGGATTAATTTTCACACTAATTCTTCAAATGTATTATTCAGGAAAATCTGGAATCTTTTTAGACTAAATATATCATGCAACAGTTTGATTAAAATTTCAAAAGATTGGAATAACTGTCTAATCTGTAAAACAAAACACTTCCTTTTTTCCCAGCAATTAACAAGAATCTTTAACATCTTTATGATTAAGGTGAATAATCTTAACACCAATTATCGTAACAAATCAAACAAAGTTGACTTATTATCGTCACCTAGTTCAAATTAATTCAATGTACGGATTGGAGAACTTTCCAAATCTACCATATTTGTTTAATTATGCATACAGTTGTTGGGGCCCCTATACGTTTACAAGTACCTTATGGATATAGTCATTCAATTGCTTTCGGAACGAAAATCTCTTTATTAGTAATGAAATAAAAGGACTAATAGTATATTGCCATTAATTGGAGAGAAAATAAATTTACAATCGTACATAAGCAATTACAATACAATGAGTCACACAAACTATCAGTCAAAGTTTGGATATTTCTAACATAAAACATTCGATCCTCAAGAGGAGGATGCGCCATTCAGAATGCATCACTGATGACACTAGTGTTAAAGGATCATCATTTTTTGTCTAACTTACAGACTACCATATTTTGACCTTATGTTTAACGTACATTAGAAAATTAACAACCAGTTTCTTTATAATCATTCAATACTTAATGGAAATTGTTCACTTACATTCCGTTTGTTAATATTAATGGCTTTATTCAATATTATATGCTTGGTAGAATATAGAATTCTCAGAAAAAGTTATTTTAACATTTTTCTTTTACAACAAAAGGTGATAACTGGATACACATAAACGAAAATTAAGTAAATAAACTACTGAGAATTAAATGAAATGCTTTTTATTAAGATTGAAATCTGCACAACTTTTTAATTAGAAACATGTTTAAGAATACAAGTTATTGACTAGGTGGACTCTATTAACTTGCTTATCACGGTATATTTGCTAGATAAGGCATTGTAGACCTTTCATGTCTTTGCTTGAATGCATCGATTGTAATGCATTTTTGCGTATTGTTTTACTAGGAGATATACAAGGAGATAGATATGAATAAAGTGGATGGTTACTATCTGATAACACTTCTTAGGGGTTTGCAAGATTTTAAATATCTATCCGTAACCATATTAATAATGACTTAAAACGATTCACAAACTTTGCTAACTGCCTTCCGCACTCTCCACAATACACTGAAATCTTTTCTCAAAAACCTGGGGAAGTATAATCGGGAGCAGTATAAAGATAATATTATGCCGGTTCTAAGAAATCGCGAAAGTAAATGCAGCCTCTTTATATAGTAAGTCAGACGGCAAACTTTCTTCGATAACTAAAACATAAGAAGAACAAGAAAGACCAGAGGAAAAACTCACGCCAAGATAAATGACCACTGACACGGTTTTCACTACAGAATCTCCAGCTTTATAGGATTCCAAAAGGGTGTTTGAGTGCTGTTCGTGCCCCAGGATAAAGTTAACAATTTGACATTCAGAAGGATCAAGTGTGCAATCATTAACAACAGGTTATCGTTCAACAAAATAAAAGAACTCATTCATTCCAAGCGGATGTGGAGAGGTAGACATCGCGATCGCATATTCAACAAAAGTGCTTCCTGTAGGAAACAGCAGGTCATACAGGAAAACAGAGAAAGGAAGACGGCAAAGAAATGCTCCTCATGGAACACTTTCATGAATTAGTAGAGATGTTGAATACTTTTCTCCGAACACAGTGTATTGTTTTCTTCCAGAGAGATAGAAACACAGCCAGTTGGTTATCCAGCTTTCAGTGTTGATTTTGACAAACTTGTTAAGTACTAGCTGTCATGGCATAGAGTAAAATGCGCACTGAACATATTTCTTACCCTTTTCCAACTATATTGTATTGAGGAACAACAACAGCATCTGTGTCACTCTTTTGCAATCAGCATTCTCACTCATCCTCATATGAAGAAATCTAACAATATAAGTTATACGTAATTATATTTGACCGGCTCCGCTTATTACTTATTTTTCTATGCCTGTTAAAGGTATTATCGTATTTTTCAGTTTTTCTCCCTGGAGTTTGATTGTATCTGAATTATTAGAAGGATCTATTGGTGGTGGATTGTTATCAATTTCAGCACAATTATTTGCTTGTATAGCTGATCTAACCCAAAAATCACCTAATGAAATAGTAGTAATATCCAATGAAAATATGGATCCAGTAATCCAAACAAAAAAATTAGTAAAAAAACGTTGGCTTTTATTTACTTTACTCGACGGTGTAATCACTTGTGGTATGGCATTTGCAAATGCACTAACAGGTAACAATTTAACGTATGTTAAATCAATATTAATTTTTACAAAATATTTCGTTTCAAGTGGTAGTTTCATAATTGATTAGAAATACAGTTTCTTTTCATGAAAAAAGTCTAATCATTACATAATGTATATATTATATAGTTTTGACTAGGTAATTCACAGTAGTTTTGCTTATTAGGGACTAGTGTATAATGTGTTCCTCTTTTAATCAGTGATCACATGGGAAGTATGGGCATTTGTGCCATTTATCACGTTGTCTATGACTAATTTACTCGATCATGTTAAACATGGTATTTGTTACTTTTTAAATTTTATCACTGTAGTTTATGATTAAAATTTGACAAATAAAATTGCATAATTCAGCAAAACAGTATTGTTAGTTTAAAGCTATTTAAGTTGTAACTTTATTGTAATACGGAATAACACAAGCTCATCGGTAGCTTCATAGCAAATAAATGTTTTCTGTAGTCGTAAATATTTAAATTAAACAGCTCTTACTGAACACTGTAGACTATGTAAAATTATTAATAAAATAAATTTTTCTGTTCCCCTTATCACTGGGTGTTTATCTTATGTACATTGGTGTTTCCGTTATCTTTTACAGGTTTCATGATTCAACATTATCGTTTCTACATAACAATGCTAACTTGTATAGCCCTTCTTATTCCCTCAGTGATTACTTTATTTCTCGTACCTGAAACAAGTGTGAAGACAATACAAGTTGAACAAACAGAAGATATTGAAAATTCATCCAGTGAATTATGCATTACAACTCCAGCAGTTCATAATGAAACTAGTAAGCATCAAGAGTCCTCTAGTAATTATTCAGTCCACGTACAATCTGAAAATAGCTGTATGAATAAGCTACAAGTAAGAGAGTCGTCGTAAATTATGCATTATACTTTCAGTGCATTACAACCTCCTGTTAGTATTTTAAAAGGTTAATTAAATATTATTTGGTTGACAGTATAGTTGACTTGGCATTAGCTTACTAGTTCAGATCATATCATCAGATCCTATCTTCATCATTTTTACATCTGATTCTAGGGAAGTAATTTATAGACTGAATGATAATAATAACTAAATTAAGCTACTACAATGCTCGGGTTCATAGTGTTTTTATGTACAGAACTTCTTACTTATCAGGTTATAGAAAGTAATCATGTATAGTTAACTTGAAAACAAACAGTGTTCATTGAACAATTATTTTAAAGTTTTTAATAACAAATATGAATGTTAGTCTGGCTGTTTAAATAACCTTTGTAAAGTGTGATAAATATACCCGAACACAACGGGTATTTTACCATCGTATGATGTCACTTAAACTTTGGAATTAAACGCCATGTGATTTACATGTACTAATGGTTTTCTAAATAATAAAATTGTGACTTTCCAACATAAATACTGCTTTGTTAATTCGAGTTTGGAGTATACATCGCCACTCAGTTAAGTATTTTTAAAAACTAAGTTCCATAAATCTTTCAGTTACAAACAGTAATAAATACGTTTAGTTGACCTCATTTTATTGAAACTGACATGTTTATATCCAAGTGCATACGTATCTAAGACACAGTCAAGACCTTTTGATCCTTCGGAATGATCATGAGTGATAGTATTTTTATGTACGTGTCTTTATTAATAATCTAATTTTAGCGACTATCAATCTAGAAAGTCATTTAAACTGTGAATATACCTGGATCGGTTATTAGTCAGAACCATAATGATTCGAAACTTTGTGTGTGTAGATATTTCTCACCATATTTCTGCATGATTTTATATAATCCTTTTAGTTATATGTAAGTGCTTTTGAACTGCTTTTCAGATTATATCAAAACTACCTCGTACTCATATAGTAATCATTATCATTATTTTCATGTTTTCCATCTCTGGTGTGACGGATACACAATACTTATTTCTTTACTTAATGAGTGGTCCTTTTATGTGGGATGCACAAGTAGTTGGTTTATTCACGTAAGTTTACGTGTACTGGATTGTATTTCAGTTTTTAATCTAGTGTTTGGTAACTTTAGGAAACTGATTTTCTAGGCATTGTGACCCATAAATTATATGTCTATAACCTATTAGTCCTTTCAGTGATACGAACTTCATCAGTCAAAACGATTTGTCATTTTTGCTCTGTTTTACTATCCTCACATGTGCTTAAAGCTCTTGTTCAATCACTGACGGTTTTAGACCAGTATTGACGTCAGATGTTTTGCAGTGATAGTTTACTGTATACTAATTCTGGATGTATATATTTTTCCTCAAGAAATACCCTTCCACGATGTGGGCAGCCGGGAAGTGACATCAGCCCTCATTCCCGTAACAGCACACGAGACCAAGTTGGTCACATTCAAATCCTTCCTACACCTCCTAATACCTCTCTTATCTCCATGACTAACCCTCCTCACGTCTCTTTATCACCTCGCACCGCTAGGGCAAACGATTCGAGTACGCGGAACGCTATTCCTGGTCTCCTGAAACCACGCTCTAAACTACACGTAGGAGCTTTTAACGTCCGAACACTGTGCCAAATAGGACAGCAGGCTTCCTTAGCTATGACTTTAGAATCCCGCGCCATCGATGTGTGCTGCGTCTCCGAAACGCGCATACAAGATCCGAGTAGTGTCATTCATCTGACCTCACCATGTCAAAATAAAGAACCGACTCGATTCACACTTCGTGTATCTGGAAGCCCTGATTCTGCTTGCCGTGGCCTCGCCGGCGTAGGCATAGCATTGAGTCCCAGAGCAGAACTAGCTCTCTTAGAGTGGATCCCAGTAGACAACCGTTTGTGCGCTGTCCGACTGAAGAGAACAGTAAGAATCCGGAAAGATAGGGACACTCGTCGTTGCCTCTGTCTATTCTCCCACTGACTGCAGCTCAGATGATGTAAAAGATGAGTTTTACAGAAAGCTTTCTGACCTTCTCCGAAAAGCTAGGCGCTCAGATGTAGTAATAATGGCCGGTGACTTTAATGTTCAAGTAGGTAAACTAAGCGATAGGGAAAGACACCTGGGCGGATCTTATAGCATCATGGCTCAAAGAACAGATAATGGCGACCGTCTGTTGCAGCTATGCTCGGATAACCGCCTCTTTCTTGCAAACACTAACTTTAAGCATAAGGAAAAACATCTTTTAACATGGAGACCCTCTAATTCGTCCCAATGTTGGACCCAACTAGATCACATCGCTATCAGCCACCGATGGAGGGGCTCGATAGAAGACTGTCGCTCATTCTGGAGCACATGCTTAGATTCAGATCATGCTCTAGTACGAGCGCGTATCTGTCTGCGTCTTACTGGACGTAGGAAAGACGCTGCAAGTAAACCTCTTAGGGGCCTACTTAATGATAGTCAAGCTAAGAGTATATTTCAGGAACAACTAGGAAAACAGTTAGGCAGCCATGTATGTGATGCCCACCCCGAGGCAGCATGGAATGATATCTGTAAAGCTGTGGAAACAGCAGTGATATCTGCTAGCAAGGTAAGTCAGAAGGTTAGGGAACGACACTTGATCTCAGCAGCATCTATCGCACTGATAGATGCTCGGAAACTCATTCCACCTGGCTCTGAACATAGTGAAAAGCGGAGTCAGCTTAAGCGCAAGCTGACAAGAAGTCTACGCAATGATCGTGAACAGTGGTGGGTAGCGAAAGCAAGAGATGGAAAAGGCAGCGGCAATAGGTAATAGCAGACAATCGTTCAGACTTGTTAAGAAAATCGGTATTAGGAAACCGACTGTTAGCGAAACTATCTCAGAAAAACATGGACATATTATTCATTCTCAATCCAGGAGATTAGATCGATGGGCAGAACACTTCAGTGATCAGTCCAACTGGCCTTCAGCCACACTTCGGTTTCCCACGATCTCTAGTCAACCTGAATGGCAAGTTAATGTAGGTGCTCCGTCTCTTTACGAAGTTGAAAAAGCCATAGGAAATCTGAAGCGAGGGAGAGCAGCAGGCCCTGACAGGTTTACTCCTGAGATTTTTAAGGATGGTGGTCCAGTATTAGCAATGAAATTAACCGAGGTCTTAGGTAGAATTTGGGAACTGGACGTAATCCCATCTGACTGGTCTCAATCACTGATTGTGCCAGTTTATAAGAAAGGACAAACGTCCTCTTGTGACAATCACAGAGGAATCAGTTTGACTAATATAGTGTCTAAAATATTAGCTTCAATAATACTTCGACGCCTAACCAAAGCTCGTGAAGAGCAAACTAGAGAAAACCTGGCCGGTTTTCGACCTGGACGTGGTTGTATAGATCAAATATTCACACTACGTCAGGTTGTAGAACACAGACACACGTTTAGACGCCCCACAATGGTAGTATTTCTCGACCTTAAGGCAGCATTCGACTCTGTTGATCGTGAGGTTCTATGGCAGTGTTTGTCACTGAAAGGAGTACCAAAGAAGTACATTAACCTTATTCAGGCTCTCTACTCGAACACAACTGGTAGAGTGAGAGCTTATGGCGAACTGTCATCAGAATTGATTACCTCAAGTGGTGTTCGTCAGGGCTGTCCACTCTCCCCATTCTTGTTCAACTTTGTGGTCGACGTACTTTTAGAGACAACACTCTCCTCATCTAAATTTCCAGGGGTTGAACTTCTACCGGGAGGTTCACTTGTTGACTTAGAATATGTTGATGACATAGTTTTATTTGGCGAAGACGCTGACAAAATGCAGAGTCTTCTAACCACTCTAAGCAACAATTCAAGCATGTTCGGGATGCGATTCTCTCCCTCGAAATGCAAAATGTTGCTTCAGGATTGGGTTACATCGACACCCGAATTAGTGATAGGGAGTGAAGTAATTGAGTGTGTCGACCGCTTCACTTATCTTGGAAGTCTCATCAGCCCTTGTGGTCTGGTGTGTGACGAAATTTTAGCACGGATACAGAAGGCTCGACTAGCTTTCGCTAACTTGCGTCATTTATGGCGTAGGCGAGATATCCGTCTATCAACCAAAGGACGGTTTTGCTGAGCAGCAGTTCGTTCCGTCCTGCTTTATGTAAGTGAAACATGGTCGGTAAGAGTAGAGGATATTCGTAGACTACTAGTATTTGATCATAGGTGTCTTCGAAATATTGCTCGTATATCATGGGACCATCGAGTAAGTAATGCAGTTGTTAGGAAACAGGTACTAGGTAAGAATGGCAAATCAATTGATGAAGTGGTGAAACTTCATCAGTTGAGATGGCTGGGACACGCGTTACGTATGCCCAACGACCGACTGCCTCGACATGCGATGTTCAGTGGTATAGGAGTAGATTGGAAGAAAGCTAGGGGCGGCCAGACCAAAACATGGCACAAGTCCATGAAGTCACTGGCAAGTGGACTGAGTCATGTTGGTAGGTGTAGACTACCTGGTTGAGGACCGCGAGATGATAGCAACCGATGGTTAGAGACCTTGAATGACATGGCTCAAAATCGTTTGCAATGGCGCAGGTGCATCCACTCTTAGTGTTCTCCCAAATTTTGATCTCCTGATTCCCCTTGTCTCTTTTTTTTCTCTTCCCAAGTTTATTTCACTGTATTATACTCTTTATGTAACATCTCCAAACACTAATCTTTCCGATTACTGCTTATACTCTTATTACCTCTACCACTACGGGATTTGAATCGACCACGGCATCTCTGTGGCTAATGTGGTGTGGCAACTCGAACTGATTTACGTACGTACGAAGTTGTACGTTGTTACTGACTGACTGACTGTATACCTTTTTCATATAGTAATCTCTTTCATACAACTAAAGCCCTGTTTTGTTTCAATTGAAATATGGTTTTTTGGGGGAAGGAGGAAGGTTTATTTTCGAGGGTCTCAAATTTAAACTTTGTTTCATTAAGAAATGAATCTCAAAGTAAAAATATGACAGAAAATCAACCAAGTAAATGTCTAATTTCTTAGTTATCTATTTCGTTATTTCCAGTTTGATAAATAATAATGTAAACTGAATTCATCTAATATACGAAAGAAAGGAGCAATAGGTTTTATTGTCATCTAAATGCTCATAATGCAATACGTTCAGTAGTGGTGTTTATGTTTCCCGAAGACTCATCTCATTTATTTGTATCTTTCGTATATTGATTTTATTTGACGCCCCAAATATATTGTTCTTTCCCCCCCCTCAATCCCCATCATCGAGTAAAGTTAAATACCTACATTTTTTCTATCATTTTGAAATCACACCTGTCACATAAGATATATATTTCGTAGTCCAGATTTAATAGATGGCAAAATGAGGCTTTTCAGCGATCCGAAAACGAATTCTTTACTAATGTTATAATTCTCTATTATTACAACCCAGCTATTCCTGTTTCTTATTATTTTTGGACACCAATTCACTCGACAACTTCCTAAATGAGAACACAGTTGAACAGGAAGGAAATTATATTCCAAATATTAAGGGTAGATGGAAGTAAGAAGCATAATGAAATAAACGTTAGTATATTTATAGCTTTAACATGAGAAGATTCTAGAGTCTTCTCCAAGTATCGACTAGCGCTTATTGGATAAATGATATTCAAGTAATCAACAGTTTAGCTAGAGTCTGTCAAATGGTCTAGTGGTCATAATGGTGTAGTGAACAAGAACACGAGTGGGGACAATCAAATATATTTGACACGCAATTACAGAGCATCTCACAAAAATCTGAGATCCATTTAGTAAATCGTTAATTTGCTAAATATCAATACATCGTCTCAAACTTGACTGTTATATTTGCAAACATCAGTCTATTGTCTCAGATTTCATTACTCATGTATTTTCACACCAATTGCGTTCCGTTCTCGATCTTCTACTGAAATACATTCTATGCCTGGCCACCGTTATATACTACTTATGTGGATATAAGTAACCCACACCACAACGGTACAAAGAAATATATAAATTGCTACTGTTCTGATAACATTGTCTGTTAAGTAAGTTAATAAAAGGGCTTAACCAAAATTAACCATAATCAAAATTGGTTGTAGAATAGTTGTTATATATAACTTAAAACAGTTGTGAAATACTTTTGTATAATGTTAAGATATTTTTTTGTTAGCATGGTGTTCAACCTATCCACTACTCAGTTGTGTTTAAATTGTATATAACATGTAAAACAATTTCATCCCTATGTCCTAATTCTAAAACCTTAATCCCGAAAAAAAACTTAAACCAATGTTACTATACTTCATGGACGAACTAACTAGATCTAGAATAGCGCTTCTTTGGATTTTTGAGTGAAATTCATTCATCCATATGACTACATAAAACTTTAGCATTATGGTTGGTATTCGTTCGTGACAGAAACTTTAATCCTAAGCATAAAGAATACGAGGACTCTTAAAAATCTGTTTTTATTTTTGAGAAAACGAAGAATCTGTATCCATACGGCCAAATATAAATGTCGTCGTTTGTTCGATTTACAGAGTGTAACCTGTATAAAATGTTAATAGATTCATCCATTTATTCATATGTAAAATCTATGTACGCTCTTGTAGTATTATTATTTTCTTTTCCATGAACTATCCATTTACAAAAGATAATTTCTGATTAGCTAAAACCTGGATAAAAATTCCTTTTTATTATCTAAGCTCATCCCTTTGCTATACCCTCATCATATTTCCTTCATTTTCATTATTCTATATAAGATAGTGAGGACATCTAATTGTTCCTTTATTTGGAATCCAAACATTTGGTCCTTCAAATTTTTTGTTTAAATATGTGGTAGATGTTTCAGGAAAATAAAAACCTTCATTCGAAAGTTCATTCTTAGATTTAGTACAGTCCCTTTTTGCTAGTATAATGCGAAGATGGAGTTCATTTGAAAAATGATATGTATTTGCACCATATATTTCGAACAATCTGACCATGCTTATACTTGTCAAGTCATTTTTACATATGAAAACTAATAAAGGTCAATTACATGAAAGGTTGAATAAATATAACTGTTGATTAAAAATAATAATAATAATATTTAAACGCAAAGTATGTTTAATCAAACAGTTGTCATCAATAACTTCATAAATAACTTCATCATCAAGCTCTACACCTATATATCCATAATTATTGTGTTAGAATGGTCAAAATGAGTAATATATAAATGTAATTAAGATAAGAGATTCATAGGAATTTAGTAGATTGAATGTGCAAATCAATCATGAGATGGCAGAGATTCAAGGTAAGCGTCTATTATATCCTTTAAGTATAGGATGATACATTCATAGCCCATGGTAGATGGGGTAGTCGAATGTGCACCTCTTTTCGATACAAAAGTTCGATTTTTTGGAGACAATTTCCATGAAATCCGTTATTTATGAGAACTGATTTTGCTAGTTTAATTAGATAAATCAGGACTTGATACAAAACCGAGAACATTTCATCTATTTCGGTATCGTGTTTGGTATCTATTAAGTGAAAAAGTATGGCTCTGTTAGTTGATTTCGTGATTCTTTCTCTAGCTGTACTGGTACTTGTTCACAACCACATCTAATGTTTAAACCTATATGGAATCATGGGCTTCTTTGTTTCAGTTGCATTCAATTTTGCAGCATTTTATATTTTTACAATGACTGTTTTTGTTTCGAAATTGTGCTATTTGATTCTCCTCTATAAGGTGATTCAATGTAAAGCCTTTTTCAATATTGGACGATTAAGGGGTCTCGGTTTTATCTAACTTTTACACGGATTGGTAAATTTCACTTATGTTTCTATCGTCGGTTTTAGATCCCCTTCAATCGTACCCATGCTGTAAATCCATATCATTACTAACTTTTCTCAATGTACTCTGTTTTGCGCCCACCTTTAGTGGGAGGATGCCGTTCCTACTCGCTGCCTTCTCTCGGCAGGAGTGTGGTTTACGAAGTTGAGAGGACGGAAAGCGAGTGTTTATCCCTGAGACCGGGTTGGTGCATATGGGGTATCCACCTAGAAGTGTAGAACAACCCTGATTCCAAACTAATGGTGCACATGGACTCTAAAATCCTAAGGGAACAAACAGGGTTTGAACCTTGGTTTTCGGCCACCATGAAGTCGCATTTCTTAATGTTGTTCCGCTGCTTTTAGGTCAAATGCGCGGTGAGTGGTCACCAAAGAAACTGTCTGTTTCCGTTTGAGCAATCGAGCAAGTATCACAGTCGCCCCTCCCTATGGATTTTGTGTGGCACGTATGTATTCTAATGCCCTTTTGTACCAACGTTTATGTCTTTAAAAAAATAAATATTTACGAAGGATATGGTGTTCTACAGAGATTATAGTTCACTTTTGCAGATTATTGTCAATAAACAGAGAATTTTACTTTTTAGCAGAAAATATTAACTTTTAATATTTCTGAGTATTATTATATTGATTGGTACACTTGTATTTTAACTTATACCTCAAAATATGTTCTTTTCTTTGTTCAGAGGTTTAAGAGATGTATGCTGCACATTTGTATCTGTATTATGTGTCAGTATGATGGTCAAGTTTCGTAAAGATCAACCAACTAATCATGTTGAAGTAGCATCAATATCAAATAGAACGAATACAACATTATTTAGTCGTTTAAAATCTGTGGATCAAATTCTTCTCATTATGTTGGTATTTTTTGGATTTATAATTTTTTCTATTTATCAAATCATTATGGGCATAGCTTGTACATTCACTGTTCCAACAGCAAATATTCTGGTTTATTTCGGTATGGTCTTTTTTTGTCGAATATCTATTTACGTTACCATTGCTTTCAATACTTAGTATGAAAAACATAAATCACATAGGCTTAATCAATGTTACGAAATTCAATTTACATCTTTCATCTATTCTAAGATGTTTTTCTCGTTAATAGGTAATCATTGGATTATTCTATAAATGACCTGATATCCATCGATTAATTGATCACTATTTAGTTTTGTTTGTACCGTTTATTGCTTTTAACTGTTTGATGATATGTGAGTTATTATGGCTGTAAAAACATGAATGAAGTATTCTATTTAAGACGATTATTGACTATCAATTCCTATATTAATGCTAGTTTAGTTAGCATTATTTGGTAATCAGTAGTTGGTTGATATGTTTGTTGAGTTTTACTTGATCTAACGAACTCGCTGCCCTCTGTTTAAAAAAAAACATAGTAAACAAGTACTTATAAGTACACTGAAAATATAAAAACATATACAGACATACAGTCAGTACTACACATATCACTGAAAAGTGTTTCCCATGATCACCATATGTTCAATGAATATATTGTGTATTCATAATTAAAATGGTTCGCATTCTCCTGTTGTCAGTATTCATGATATACGTATTCGATTAACAAACGTATATACTAAATAAACGTTGAACAATCCGATCCCGAATTCTCTTAACTAGAAGGTACATATGTTTCAACTAATAATATTTGTGAATACTTACAAGTCTGGGCTCGTGGATTTTCGTTTATTTCAAATTGATTACTACATTAATTAGATTGATTTTTGTATGTTTTTCTTTGTTAGGTGTACTATCGATTCATTGACTACGTATATTAGATAATTCGAATGTACCTAGAAAAATATCTACATAATTTTGTGCATATTTTATCGCTCATTTTCCTGTTATATGTAAACTTGAAAAAAACACACATTCTAAATGGCTTTATATTTTGCCATTATTATTAGAACTTACTTTACTTACGCCTGTTACTCCCAATGGAGCATAGGCCGCCGACCAGCATTCTCCAACCCACTCTGTTCTGGGCCTCCTTTTCTAATTCCATCCAATTCTTGTTCATCTTTTTCATGTCTATTTCCATTTCTCGGCGTAATGTATTCCTTGGTCTTCCTCTTTTCCTTTGGCCTTGAGGATTTCATGTGAGGACTTGTCTTGTGACGCAGTTGGGTGCTTTCCTCAATGTGTGTCCTATCCACTTCCAGAGCTTCTTCCTGATTTCTTCCTCCGCTGGGATCTGGTTTGTTCTCTCTCACAATAGGTTGTTGCTAATAGTGTCCGGCCAACAGATCTGAAGTATTTTGCGTAGACAACTGTTAATAAACACCTGTATCTTCTGGATGATGGCCTTCGTAGTTATCCAGGTTTCCACCCCATACAGTAGGACTGTCTTGACATTTGTATTGAAATTCCTGACCTTGGTGTTGGTTGACAGTTGCTTTGAGTTCCAGATGTTCCTCAGTTGTAAATATGCTGCTCTTACTTTGCCGATCCGCGCCTTCACATCTGCATCAGATCCACCCTGTTCATCAATGATGCTGCCCAAATATGTAAAGGTTTTTACATCTTCCAAATCTTCTCCGTCAATTGTGATTGGATCGGTGCATGCTGTGTTGTATCGGAGAACCTTGCACTTCGCTTTGTGTATATTGAGACCTACTGCTGCTGAGGCTGCTGCTACACTGTTCGTCTTCTCCTGCATTTGTTGTTGCGTTTGGGATAGAAGGGCCAGATCATCTGCGAAGTCTAGATCGTCCGACTGCATCCTAGATGTCCATTGTATCCCGTGTTTCCCTTCAGATGTTGACGTCTTCATGATCCAGTCGATCACCAGGAGAAAGAGAAAGGGTGAGAGTAAGCAACCTTATTATTATTAGAAAAGGTTTCAATAATCTCCATTGTTGATCTTTTAGACCGAATTTCATCAGTTTTTGTTGGTTTATGTGCATTCTGTGCAGATTACCTCGAGATTGTCATTTTTCACAAGTTTTATCGAACAGATGAGTTATTGCTAGCAGTGGGATCCACGACATGCGTTTCGTTCTCTTTAGGACTCGTTAGTTTTATACACCGGTTGATAAAAATTCAATTATGATTATCAACAGCGGAGTAACCCAAACTTTCACTAGTAATGATATGAGTATAATATTGATAGAGGAAGTTATTAGCCATAGTTAGCTCAGTGGATAACACGTTGAGCGTTTGGGGCAAAAGTACTGGGTTCGAGTCACAGTGTAGACATTAGTAGTGCGATGTAAACACACCATCACTATTTTTTACCATCATTCTCTCCCCTTTTTATTGTTTATGATCTTTTTGAATACCCTTTTTATTTTAAGTTTGTTCCTCTTTGTTTACTTTTAATATACAGCTACAATTCCAAGATTTGTTAAAGGTTTTCAAATATCCATACTTCGAACTATTATATCAAAATGGACAGAGGTCTCTAAACAAGGTGATGATTATATAGTGATTATATTATTTATTTACTATGGATTTTTATTATGGATTAGTTTTTTCCTGATGAATTATTACTGTTGATATCGTCAAACTATGTGTACTGTGTTCTTGTTCACTTTAGAGAACTAACTTACTTATGCCTGTTACTCCTAATGAAGCATAGGCCGCCGACCAGCATTCTCCAACCCTCTCTGTCCTGAACCTTCTTTTCTAGTTCCATCCAAATTTTTTTTCATTCTTCTCATGTCCGTCTCCACTTCCCGGCGTAATGTGTTATTTGGTCTTCCTCTTTTCCTTTGGCCTTGAGGATTCCATGTGAGAGCTTGTCTTGTGACGCAGTTGGGTGCTTTCCTCAATGTGTGTCCTATCCACTTCCAGAGCTTCTTCCTGATTTCTTCCTCCGCTGGGATCTGGTTTGTTCTCTCCCACAATAGATTGTTGCTAATAGTGTCCGGCCAACAGATCTGAAGTATTTTGCGTAGACAACTGTTAATAAACACCTGTATTTTCCGGATGCAGCCCAGATATGTAAAGCTTTTTACATCTTCCAAATCTTCTCCGTCATTTGTGATTGGATTGGTGCATGCTGTGTTGTATCAAAGAATCTCGCATTTCCCTTTGTGTATATTGAGACCTACTGCTGCTACACTGTTCGTCTTCTCCTGCATTTGTTGTTGCGTTTGGGATAGAAGGGCCAGATCATCTGCGAAGTTCAGATCGTTCAACTGCATCCTAGATGTCCATTGTATCCCGTGTTTCCCTTCAGATGTTGACGTCTTCATGATCCAGTCGATCACCAGGAGAAAGAGAAAGGGTGAGAGTAAGCAACCTTGCCTAACACCGGTCTTCACTTCGAACGACTTTGTCAACTGTCCTCCATGCACGATTTTGCAGTGTAATCCATCATATGAACTCTGTATGATATTGACTATTTTTTGAGGCACACCGTAGTGTCGAAGAAGCTTCCATAGTGTTGTCCTGTCCACGCTATTAAATGCCTTTTCGTAGTCAATGAAGTTGATGTAGAGTGATGAATTCAATTCAATTGATTGTTCCACAATGATCCGTAGAGTTGCGATTTGGTCTGTACACGATCTATCCTTACGGAATCCTGCCTGTTGGTCACGAAGTTGGGCGTCTACGCAGTCGTTCATCCTGTTTAACAATACTCTGTTGAAGACTTTTCCCGGTATTGAGAGGAGAGTGATGCCCCTGTAGTTATCACAGTTTCTGAGATCGCCTTCGGTATTTTGATCAGGAGTCCTTCTTTCCAGTCTTTTGGTACTTGTTCCTCATCCCAAATCTTATTGAAGAGAATGTGGAGTATCCTTGCAGTTGCCGCTACGTCTGCTTTTAGTGCCTCTTCTGGAATGTTGTCTGGTCCTGCTGCATTGCCACTCTTGATTTGTCTGATGGCCATGATGATTTCTTCAATTGTTGGTGGGCCAACGTTGATTGGGAGGTCCGTGGGTGCTGCTTCGATGTTGGGTGGGTTCAGTGTAGCTGGTCGATTCAAGAGTTCTTTGAAGTGTTCTACCCACCTGTTTTGTTGCTCTTCAATGTTGGTGATTACCTCGCCTTCCTTGCTTTTCACTGGTCGTTCTGGTTTGCGGCGATTTCCAGAGAGGTTCTTTGTTATATCATACAGTTGTCTCATGTTTCCTTCTCTTGCAGCCTTTTCCGCCGTCTTTGCTAGATCTTCCACATATTTACGTTTGCCAGTTCTGATGCTCCTCTTCACTTGCTTGTTTATTTCTGTGTATTCAGCTTGTGCCTTGGCTTTTCCTGCTCTTGTTCGGCTGGTATTGATTGCTGCTTTCTTGTTCCTCCTTTCTTGAATTTTATCCAGTGTATCAACAGTGATCCATTCCTTGTGATGGTGCTTCTTGCGACCCAGGACCTCATGACATGTTGAAGTGATTGCCTCTTTGATCCCCTTCCAGTTGCTCTTCATAGTAGTTCCTTCTCTATTGAGTAGATCATGAAAGGCCTGGAACTTACTGCTGAGGACTATCTTGAATTTGTTGAGTTTGTTAGTATCCTGAAGAAAGGCCGTATTGAACTTTTGTGATATTTTCCGCCCCGTTGTCCAGTGCTTCTTGAGTTTCAATTTCATCTTGGCGACCAGCAAGTGATGATCTGAGGCTATATCAGCTCCTCTCTTGGTTCTCACGTCCTCTATAGTCCTCTTGAACGTTTTGTTGATGCAAATATGGTCGATTTGGTTTTGTGTATTGTGATCCGGTGAGGTTCATATGACTTGTTGAATGTGTTTATATGGGAATATGGTGCCGCCTATGACCAGTTTATTGAAGGCACATAGGTTTACAAACCTCTCACCATTTTTGTTCCTTTCTCCCAGTCCTTGTCATCCCATGATGTCTTCATATCCAGTGTTGTCCGTCCCAACCTTGACATTGAAATCTCCCATCAGAATGGTCAGGTCCTTTGTTGTGCACTCTCGGTGATTGACTGCAGCCTATCGTAGAATTGATCTTTAGTGTCTTCATTGTTGGTAGGCGCATAGCATTTGATGATGTTCATTGAAATGCCCTTTTTCTTTGTTTTGAAGGAGGCTTTGGTAATCCTTGGTCCATAAGATTCCCATCCTATAATTGCATTTTGTGCTTGTTTGGACAGCATCAATGCAACTCCTTGTGTATGTGGGGCATTTTCTTCTTCATGGCCGGAGTATAACAGGATCTCTCCTGAAGTTAGTCGTTGTTGTCCAACTTGCGTCCAATGTGTTTCACTGATCCTAAGTACCTCTAGGTTGTATCTACTCACTTCTGCAGCAATTTGGAAGGCTCTCTCGGTGTCCCACATTGTACGGACATTCCATGTATCTAAATAAATGGTCGCTCTGGTTGTCAGAAGAGGCATCGGCCTCGTAACTTCCGAGGAAATTCGGCTTTCATCATGAGGCGTCATAGTTCTTCTAAATGAAGACTTTCTGACTCCCGGGTCACAGTTTAAAAGGTTTGAATAGTTTTTTCTGGTTAGCGTTTTTTTAGCGCGTTAGTTTTCTACGGGATGGGGACGCTAACCCCATGCCCAACCCTCCTTCTTTATCCGAGCTTGGGACCGGCAGTAGCCCCCAGAGACACTCCAGGCGGAGTTTCAGAGAACTAAACTTAATCAAAATGGTTGTATTAGTGTTACAAAACATAAAATTATGGATCGTAAGTTTGTTTTCAATGTTCACTTAAGTTTACGTGTATTGTGTCCATGCTATCACATGAGTGTTGAAACCTATGTATAATGATACTTTTATAAGGTGATTGTGTAGCCTTCAACTCATGAGCTTGATTCACATTACGATGCAGTATTATAAAACAGTCTAAAACGAATTTTAGTCAATTAAATCGCCTTTTTTCTCAATAAACTTTGGTTTTTAAATTAAATCTAGTGTGATGTCTTGCAGGAGAATTCCTCTGGGATTTTAACTTGTAGCACTGATTCGCTGCTTTGTCTTTTAGTGAAAAATCCCATGCTTCAGTCTGTGTATTCCTAATTGTCATATAAGAATATCACAAGCACTTAATGGGACGCTACCAATCTCTTCTCGTGCTTCATTTGTATGAGGTGATAAGATTGGTCGGATTTCGTTATGGTATTAAGAATTTATTTTCACTACAAGTCATAAATATCTGTGATGGTCATATTGAAAACATTTCTATTAATAATTGAATTTGAAATTATTTGACTTATCCTGTTGTTGAACTTTGATCTGCCTTTGTTGCTTTATGTACATCCTTTGCGCATTACTTTGATATAGCCATTACAACACAAAGCATTTGTTTAGGAATTATTTAAGCTATGTATGTCTAATTTACTGAACACCCAGTATTATTTTCCTGTTCCAGTTTTCCTAAGAAACAAACTGGGCTTTCTAAGGTTAAGTTGTTTGTTGTTTCCAGTTCACAGGGTAAGTTGAAGTTCAAAAATTCGTTTAATAACTGTAACTTTTTTCAACAGATCATACGATATGGTTGTCAGTTATTTATTTAACTGTTTTAGGATAGTTAGTCTTCTGTTTGCATAAAATTTAGTTGTTTTTTTCTTGAAATATATTGACTCCCGTTTAATTTTCTCAACATTCCCTTTAGGTATGGTAATGTCTGTTATTGCAGTAATGGAACGCCTTGGGCTATTGATCAGTCTTGTAGCTCTACCAGTTATATACGCTGCAACAGTTAGCACTTTCAAAGGATCAGTATTTTTTGTTTGCGCCTCTTTTACAATTTTGGAAGCTTTAATAGTCTTGTAAGTGTCGTACAAGATAAAGGACAATTTGTTTTATGTTTTAAAATTCTACAATATTACGGATCCTTACATTTCATCAATGTTTCAAATTCTCTGTTATGCGTGATGATGTGGTCTATTTATCAATTCACAGCCGTCTGGTATATCAAATGGGATGCCGAAAAGGGTGTCATATAACGTTTTTCAGTCAATTAGTTAGTGTAGTACATCTGGTTCCCAATTGTTGAATGAATAATCCAGATAAACGTTTTAGACGACATAAATTGGTAGACAATCAACTTACAGTCGGCAAACAATCCCATGCTTTCGATATAATTTACTTTCGTTGGTTAATCTATCCTCTTAGTAATTAAACAACGTTCGACACAGTCATGATTAATTTGTTCTATTTTGTAATTAATGGATGGAGTACAATGGTATGTAAAAATTAAGTTTGTTTGTTCAATTTAAAGTTTTTAAAATTTATATTAGACCTCAGATTACATTCAAGAAACATGAATATCGTATTTCTTTTCACGGAAGAGGTGTTGTTTACGAAATTGAGAGGACGAAAAGCGAATATTTGGCGCCTTAACTGGGTCGGTGGAAATGGATAATTGGAGTTGGAAAACCCTGATTCCAAACCAATGGTGCACATGGGCTCTAGGATCCTAAGGGTTTACATGGAACTCACAACAACTGTCTCTCAACCAACAATAAATTCAGAATATTCAGTACGAACGTGAAAACAGTTCTACCGTACGGAGCTGAAACTTGGAGAACTACAACAACCATCATCAAAAATGTACAAGTATTTCTAAATAATTGCTTGCGCAAGATACTCAACGTCCGTTGATCGGATACCATCAGCAACAGCATATTGTGGGAGAGGACAAACTAACTTCCATCTGAAGAGGAAATTAGAAAAAGACATTGGAAGTGGATACGGCGCACATTGAAGAAATTATCAAACTGCATTACGAAGCAAGCCTCGATTTTGAATGGTGAAGGGAAACGGAAAGGAGGAAGGCTAAATAACACACTGCGCCGAGAATTAGGAACGGGTATGGAAAAAATGAATAGCAACTGGAGACAAGTGGGAAGGATTGCTTGTGACAGAGTTAAATGGACAATGCTGGTCAGTGGCCCATGCTCCTCCATGAGGAGTAACAGGCGTAAGAAAGCAGAGCTACGTTGAAAAACTAGTTGAAATGAAATGTGTTTTCTCTTTATTTATCTTTTTACTTTGTCCTAATGAGAATTCTCATTTGCCAATGAATAGACAAATTATTTTCCGAAATCTCATCATATTTTTTTAGAAAACGATCACTATATTTATTGATAAATTTTTATATTATACTTGTAATTTTTTGTGTGTAAATTTTCGTCTTTAATAATTAAATGTTGGTTGGGTAATTGAAGAAATAGAGTAATAGTTTTAATTAGTCACTTAACTAATCTCTGTTTATACTGTTAACATCAAACGTTTACTCTGAACGATTAGGATTTATTCCTTCCTCAGACAGAGAGAGAGAGAGAGGAGTAGTGCTTATCGATCAGTACTGACTGAAAAATGATATGCAACTATACATTTTATTTGTTGGAAGCTAAGTGCATGAACTACTGAACTAACTCTTCATCACAGTTACCAATACCTATTTTTTTATATTCAATAAATATACTGGATTATAGTTATACTCTTATCCTGATTTGTTTTCCCTATTTTTAGAATTTTACCAGTATATGCTCCAAACAAATTGTCACTGGGATCGTAATCAGTTAATTATTGTTAATATCATCTGTTATGTAATTGAACTTAAAGAAGAAAAAAGACAGGAATCCAGACTTTATTAAAAATATAATCGACTCATTTATTTATTTATTTATAATAAATCATTTATATTTCCAGAACATTTGTTACGTTTCTACAATAAATCATAATGTATTGGTGACATTGATAAGAGGACTGTGAACACCGTTGTTCGGTTTTAGTGTGAAACTCTATAGCACTGCATAGATTAAAAATATTGCTTAACCAAATATCATTTGACCATTAGTCTATATTTTCTAACTTTACGTAGTATGGTTTTGTTGACAGGCATCCGTTCAACCTCTGATATAATTGACTATATAGATCACATAACTTCTTAATATATCTTCAGAAGTAAACATTTGAGATAGATTATTGTTGGTGTTTGTTAGAACTAGTTTGGTTTTAAAATAATTTTTCTCACAGAATGATTGTGGGACATTGTGTGTACAAATATTTCTAAACAATTGTTTGCTCAAGATATTCAATGTTCGTTGGTTGGACACAATCATCAACAGCAAAGCTTTGTAAATTATTTAATGGAATATAAAGACTGCCATGTTATTTACTAGGGATAGCAGTTGATCAGTTTCTATTAATGTACTCTCATCGTGGGTAAGTTGCCTTGCTATTACTGTCCAGTCACACATTTTTTTTATAAGTCGAATAGGAACTAGAAGTGGAATCCAGGACTAACGTTTGATAGTATTTAGGACTCATCCCGGTGTTGATATTCATATTGAGACTCAAACACAGCATCCTTAGCCTTAATTATCAAGTAAACAACTCATTGGAGTCTGAAGGGAAAAGTACTGGGTCCGAGTCCTAGTATAGATATCAACACTGTGATATATAGTCATCATAATGTCTCTTTCATAGATGGAGGTTCCTACTCAAGAAACATTTACCTTAATACAGTTAAAGTAAATAATAATTCAAGTTTTTGTGCTGTTAGGCAAAGTTGAAATAGAATCTAATATATTAAATTGCTTCTAACATTCATACCTCCGATTATTATTGTGATCTACGTCTTCACTTACATCTTGAAAAAAATTGGTTGTGCTTATGATATGTGTATGGAATCTGTTTATAACAGGTTTTTTTCTGTTTAAAAATATTGATTTGTCATTTTTGTTTTAATTATAATTTACATGTTTTGTAAGAATTTGTGTGTTCGAAATGTCTGTTCGTTAAATAAATCATTAATTAAGCCATATTCAGAGAGTCGTCTAACAATGTTCGAATTAATAGTAATTATTATTATCTATACATTTGTCATCATAACATAATCTGTAGGTTAATTCTCTTGAAAACGTTTTGTTCATAAACGATTGTTTAGTATCACATGTGATCTAACATACTATTGTAACGTTAGAATGCCTTAAAAACTGTCTTCGAGAAAATCATTTTGATCTAGAGAATGAATGGAATGGAACAAAAGTAATTATAGGTATAATTAACTTTTGATGTTGTAGATTGTTTTATAGCATCGATTAATGTATTACAATTTACAGTTCATGTTCTAAGTTACTGTATTGAAGTAAATTTTAATTCAAATCATTGTACTTTTATAGTGTGACTTGCCACATACTTAAGACATATATAGTAATTCATTCCAGTAAGTAGCACCGTGTTTTATAAACAAACTTACTAAAAGTAATAGGAAACCATATTTCTGAAGTTTTATTTTCATAGAACAGATTAGTTTATTATAATATTCAAATTTTTTTCACTTAAGTCAGTCGGTAGAGATTATCTATTAATAATGATTCGAAAACTGCATAGAATCACCTAAATCTTCTATAAATCCAGGGAAACTATATTGTTCTACGCTATTGTATACACTTTGTTGATGGAATTTTCTAAGTGATGAATTGAAAAAGGATATACTTGTTCGTACATACTTTATACTGTATGCACCGTTATGCATAATTCGTATTTCGAATGCTACTTATTATTTTAACACAAAAGCGTATAAATCGAAATTAGTACTAGAGTTGTTGTTCCTTCATTTACTAGCAAGTTGTAATTGCAGTCTTAAGATAATCGATGTTTCCTTTGGTGTCATAAATTATTTCATAGAGTTTTTTCGATATCCAGAAATAAAATAAAACATGATATCAATCAATTAATACTCGGTGACTGATTATTGTGAATATATTCATCGTACACGAAATTTTGAGCGGTCATTGTAGCTTATCCGTTAGCTCTTTGACTATCATCATGAACGACTCAGTTCAATCCACCACCGAATCATGAATTTCTTCGAAATTCTAAATAAGTATTAACTAAAGAGTCAAGTTCATCACGAAACTTAAGTTTAGTACTTCCTATTGGTTGCTTACAATCACTTGAAACATGAAGGCACACTATATCTTTTGTCAACATGGTTTTAACCTGTTAATAATAGGTCAAGTTCACTGTATGGCTTAGGTCAATAACAATGTGTGGAAACTCAACTTTGCTTATTTATGGTTAACGTTTATTTCATGAATTCACACCATAGTTACAATTTAGTAGCAAAATGTTTTAGAAATTCTGAATAGTATGAAATATAAACAACTGACTAGACGTTTGTCATTCATATTTTAAGTGATACAGATAAAATGAAAACCACTTATTACAAATAGTAAATAGTGTTGTAATATCCGGCACTGAACAACTGTTAACACTTATAATGCAATTCGTTAGTTAGGATTGAATATTCAGAACGACTTAATATATCATTATGACAGATAAGGTACACGTGAGTATGGCTGTTTGATATGCACCTCGAGTTGTCTAACAGCCAATAAGGTTGAAGACTGTCCTCAGTAGCGTACTAGAATCGATTCAGATTTTAGTTCTTGCCTCTAGCTGCAGTCTACTCATTGGTTGTGTGTAAAGTGCTCAAGACATCTATAAATGTTGATCTTACTGCTAATACGTTTATACATGCTTCTGTTTTAAATTTTGATGTGATAGGCATTACAGTAGACTTTAACTATTCTGGAATTGAGAAGAATTATTAGCAACACTCGAATATTGGTCATAACGAGTTCATACTCCACCACGAAATGATAACATCATCAAAGTAGTTTGATTTCAAGATATTTTCGTACATGCATTGATAAAAAAATAGTTGTCTATGCTATTCCCACTAATAACAGTTTTACTATAGTCTCGTAGGTATACTAGGCATACTCTTGTGCGTAGATTTCAATGTACCTGTGAAACCTACAGGACCATTAATGTTAGTGGTTTATTCATACTAGTTAAGTGTCTCAATAAAATAAGATACTTGTAGAAAAGTTAATGTAAGTTGGATGATTTCTCGCCAATATGACAACCATAATTTTTAATCAAATTAAGGAAACGTATAGCGGTTAATCAAGAGTTTTCAGCACATAACAGTGGTTCAAAAATATAGAATTTAGTTATACTCAATAAAACTAGATCTTTCATAAGTTATTACCTTGGCTTTTGTAACTTAGTCTCTACTGAACGTAAGCTTAGGCGTCTGGTCTCTGTGGTACATGTTTGGCGTTTCCGGACTAGTCGATACGACTAATCATCATCCTTGGAGGTAAACTCATATCAAATGGAACGGCGATTCCTTGCCTGAGTACCTTAATTCTTTTGTCAGTCACTGATATCAAACAGTTAAGAAACTCGATCTTATCAGATTTCCTTTTGATGACAAGTGATGTGATGAAAGGTAGTGTTTAGTCTTCTGATCTTTATAGCTTATGCACATGATGTCTCTAACTGTTTCAGCATGGTTAAACGCTTTCTGTATGCGGATTATCATGAGGAAAATCATATTAGTATGAAGCTAAACAAAGTCACTGTTTTGGTTCTCAAAATGGGATTTATAAATTTGCGCAGTTATAAGTGAATCGGTTTGCAATCGAGTTCCATTTATCAGGTCCGACTTCAGCAGCAATGGTAAAGTGCTATCTAAATTTCATACAGTGTTAGACTCAGAATTTAAGTATTCATACAGTCTGTCTCTCTCGGAAGTGGTTTGAATGCAGACTTACAAGTCTCAGTCACTTTTGTATTGTATTCTAGGTAACCTCTTTAACAATTACTTACGTAGTTATATTGTAGTTAACATGCCAGAAGTCATCTTCCAATTTAACTAATCAGTGCAAAGCACAACATTCTGTGTGATTGCAATTGAATTTAAGCTTTACCATGGTTATTGTCTTTCAAATGTTGTGATGAATTAACTACTAATTCAATGTTTCTTTATATCCTCATCATCTTCGGAATCTAAGGCATTTACATGTATTTTCTTTTGGGTCATACTGTTTACTAATAAGTAGTTTAGTTTATTTGACAGAATTTAAATTAATAAAAATCGGCGAGACTAATTTATGGACGAGCCAATCAGAGGCATTTTAGAGATTTCAAGGTTACGGAGCCAACTTCAGTGATTAATGCTAACGTACGATCGGTTCACAGGGAATTTTATACAAAACGTGATAAATGAGCGGCTATAACAAATGAAATGGCAAGACTATAATTTGTGGACGAATCAATCAGGTATAAGATAATAGATCTCGGATTTTAACGCGAAGGCCTTTCATGCATTTGGTTAAATAAATTTCTGGCATTATAGCTGATGTCAGTTCGTGATGAAAATTCCATATATAATTTCTAATTAAGGCAAATTATGACAATTATTGCGAAATGGATAATAAAAGTACCAGTAACACTGGCAGCAGCCAGGTACTACAATATATACGGATGTTTGGAGAGCGTACAGACTCCTACATAGGCTTGTTCATGTGCATTGTGTCGTTAACCACAAATGGTATTTTGTGTACTTAACAACCGTAGTGCACACTAGCAATAATGAAGCTATGTGGTCGGGGCTGAAGGAGTTTTTAGACTTTATCATGGATCCAGGGGCCAACTATTCTGTAGCCATATGGATAATTTCCTCTACTGCATGAATTACGACATTAGAACCTCTGAACCTTATTCTAACTTTGACAAGTTTTCGAACCACATATAAGAAGTGTGTCCATTTTATTTTCTTGGTTTTTTATAATATATTTTACTCTAAACTTACTGTTTGGTGATTGGCTAATATTCTCGAGGTCACTCCAGATTCGTTCAAAGGTCGTTCATAAATTAGAGTTTCGCGAAAATATCTCTAGGTTTTAATAGTTCTAAAGTGTATCTTCATGGGGGAAACAACAAGTAATGTGATGTGGAGAGAAAGATTCAATGCCTCCCATTCAATACGTTTTCACAATATTTCTGAATCTGATTCCGCCGGTACAATATATTTTCATGATATATCTGAATCCACTGTCATCGTTGCTTTTATATCAGTTGACGAAGATGTGAACAGAATGTTGGTGAACCCAACACAGATTTATCCAGTAATGACAGCTCAAGTTGCTGATCATGCTCACTGTGAACCTCTTTTACAATAACTAACCAAATTTACTCGAGGCGATTTGCCTCCACGTGTCACAGGTCACGTGTTAAAGCAGTATTATCAACTACGTCAGTCGCTATCCATTGTAAATGACTACATTATGTATGTGGTAGTTACAGATAACCTACTCTCATTCATCCTGCAACAACATCATATAGCATACTCAGGTCTTTGAAGAATGAATTCTATCGTCCGGAGCCATATATTGGCCTAACTTTGATGAGTTCGTCAAAAAGTTAGTGAGTATATGCAGAAAATGAGCTTTGTTTTCAAGATTTCCGCGTGAAAGGGAATCCCATTCTCGGTCATCTCCAAATGAACCTTGATCGCAAGTACACAGTGATTTTGTTAGCCCATCCTAAAACTATAACGGCATAAATGACTAACATGTAAGCATAGACTTCATGGTGCTGACTACAATATAATGAATTTACTTCAGGTTAAAAATAGTTTTGAACCTGATCTGTTTTCGTGTTTACTTTTTTTCTCAAAGATTTACATAGTTGTAATACGTGATAAATAATAACTTATAAATTGTTGAATTAATCTTACTTTCGTTTGATGCGTCCATGTGAACGTGATTCTCAGAATTTAACGCTTTTTTTCATTGATCGACGAACTACATATAATTAAAAGAAGAATCACTTCAACGAAACGTAATTTACTCCAACCATTATTATAGTTTTTAGTAATCAATAAGATTTCAAATAATCATAACCCAACCTAAAGTTCACTTGATTTTATCAAGGATAGTTCTTGCGTGTCAGGACTATTGATAGCCCAAATTTCTTGAACATTATATAAGAACTGGATTAGAAGAAATCACTTGACTAATAGTTTTAACTTTATACTGACTACTGTACTTCTGTTTTATTGAACTCGAACAAATTTGTTTAACTACTGAAAATAATAAGTTTGACTAAAACATATGATTAATAAAGTACATATTGGTCTGACAATGGAATAGGATTTCAAGTAGAATAGTGAATTCTGATATACTTAAAAAAGTATTTCAAAACTAAACAAAATAATTCTTTCCTATTAAAGTAAATAAATACCAATGGCTATTTTTTTTCTTTTGATTTTGTTAACAAGCAAAATTAGTACCGTTAATTTTAGAAATTGACATATTACATACTAATCATAAGATGTTTTCATAAAGCCTCATTATTTCATTATTTTCACATTTACAATCTCCATAGTGTTAACAGTAATTCATGTTTTGGTCTGAGCACCCAGACAGCATCACAATTCACACACAAATCAAGTGACTTGTATGGCACATATGTATTCATTGCTCCTTTGTATCAATATTAATGTGTTCAAATAAATAAAAGAAATTAATGAACTACAATTCCTGATAATGAATGCATTTCACTGTTATATTAGCAATTTATTTGTGTTTATCAAAATGATCATTAATTTTGATAAGCATTACAATAATTTGATAAGTTTAATGGATTCTTACACATTATTCATGTTTTCAAATATTACATAATTTTTTCACTTTAATTACAATTAAATTTAATGTGTGTTATGTTTGAAGCGATTACGATGTAGCGGTAAATAAATCCCCAAAATAAATAGCTCTGTAAGTCTTCAATATTGGATGCTGACCACATTAGTTTTAATGAACTCACCTAGCTGAAGGCGGTCGGTCATGCATCTGCACCAGATCACGTGTGTGAACGCCGTCATCAACATCGGCAATCGCTAACCAGATTAGATCAGACGGTCCTCCATATATTGATAGTCCATCAAATATATCTTCGAACCTCCTCGCTTCTGTCTTTTGATTTCACATGGTGGGTAAGACTCATATTAGAAGATGTTACTGGTTAAAGCGTTGTCAGACTCCAAATGCATGTGGCATTTTCATTAGTGAGCCCGACGTGATCTGGTACACCACATTGCAAACTGTGAGTCTGTTCCTTTTTGGAATTCTGTATATTGTTGTCTTATATTAATTTTTCATATATTGCGACATATGTTTTCGTGTATTTGGATACATATATATATATATATATATATATATATATATATATATATATATATATTTCACTCGTTTCTTCTCGTACTTGATATTTCACCATGACTGAACAGACACACAAAGTACTTAAGCTAAAGACTATGTCGCCACCTTCGTTTCAACTAATGCCCTTCTAGCCAGACAACATCGAAACCTGGTTCTGTTACGCAGAGGCCGACTTCTACGATCACGGCGTGGACGACACACATGCACAATTCCTCGCAGTATTCAAGGCACTACCGCGCGAATTCAACAGGTACGTAACATCTAGTATATTTGCTAGTGATGTTTCTGAACCTTACGAAACTCTGAAACGTTCTATCCTTAAATGCGGAGACCTAATCGATAGACAATGGTTAGACCAACTCCTTAATAACATCGACCTGCAACACGGTTCTGAGACGAACCTGTTGCAACGAATGAGAGAGGTTATCGGCCAAAGAACCTTTGATGATGGCCTATTCAAACAACGTTTCTTATCTAAACTTCCTCAACATGTGCAAGCTGTGCTGGTCTCGTTTCAAAACAATGCCTTAGACGAACTAACTTCATCTGCCGACCGCATTTTATAAATCACGAAATCTAACGCTGAGGTTTTCTCAGTCAAAGAAAAGCCTCAAACATCCAGAATGACATTACATAGTTATGTCATACACTTACACGTTATGTTAGATTTCGTAACGACCGTAAACGGTCACATACTTCTCGAAGAAGCACTTCACGTAAGCGATCTGTCTCTAAACCACGAGACGGATAACTCCGACTTGTGCTGATATCATAACCAGTATTGGAAATCTTCCAGAAATTGCAGAAATCTAGTTTGCGAACGGAAATAAGACTCTGTAACCAAAGACCAATAAGCTAGGTATTTCTGATGCATCCCCGCCCCACTAACTAGAGAGAGAAGTCCAAGTTTGGAACGAGGAAGTATATTCCGCAATTATCCCAAAGTATGAGCGATACCAACCAGTCTAGTCGAAAATACACTCATTTATATATTGACTTTTACATCCATTTTTAATTACTCATCAGAATAAATCAGATATATGGATAATATTTCATACAAGAATATCGTATATTATGCAGAATAAAATGTCATAGGGGTAAACGAAACAAATAGTATACCGAGTGATTATTAAACAGAATTAATGTTGAATAAAAATCATAATGAATAAATTAATCAAATTTTGACCTTTCTTCCCGCGTAATAATTAAGCTAATTTAGAGTAATTTCAAAAATACCATCTAATAAATGAAAGTATTCATTTTTGGTTCGAATCTTTAGCATAATAAAACAGATACATGAACATATCATCTCCTGAATCTACAATAATGTATCAGGAAAATTTTTTTTTAAAAAGACGTTGACAACTTTCATCATTCTTAATGTTTCTCTAAGACAACCAGTAATTGTTATTATTTTTCTTTTTAGATTCTCACATTCATGTTTTTGTATTTCATCAGGAATGGAAGCGAACTGAAATTGATTTATATATAAAATAAAATGATTCAATCAAGTTAAAATATTGAAACTTTATAAGGTATTCAGAAGTTAGTACATTTATATTCGCTTCATATTGTTTTGCTTGTATCTTCCCATTGAGGTTTAAAAGTGCAATTGATCAGTCTGTAGCTGAGTGGATAATGCGATGGCGTTCGAAGCGAGTGGTATTGGGTTCGAGTCCCAGAGTGAACATCAACTCTGAGACGCAGGTACATCCAGCTGACGAGTCTCAAATAGGAGGAATGCGCGTCCTGGTTTCCACTGCTAGCCACTATACATCTTTGCTTAGTACATTTATATTTGATTTTATTGCTGTGGCCATCGTCAGTACATCTAGGATGTGTATATTCTCAAAACATTTATATGTGCTAATGCTTTTATAAGTCAACAGCATTATTTATGATTGTGGTTATTAATGGAATTCAGGATGATTGTTTCGATCTATCTGCAACTTGTCAGTTAAATGTAACTCTTTTCTTATAATAACATTCAATCCCCGCTCCCATTGTCTCAAATGGTAATTTAGCATCTATTATTCTGATGAGACGAAAAGTTGTGTAATTGATAGGACTATTTGTTGCTGAGTTTAATGCTAGTCTGTAAAAATATTTTATTAACAACTAATATGTAATCTAAATTTTGGAATGTTTCTCAAAATTTGGTCAGATGTTTTTGAAAAAGATATAAATGCAAGATTTCTTTTTACCTATAAATGTTTCCTTCTCAATAATCAGTAATAGCCTTTACAACTCTATAAAATTGAAAGTTTCAAGATCGGCTAATGGGAACAGTATACATTTTTGTAAGCCTATTGATTACAATTTATTTATCAGCAATCATTTACTTATAGATTAATTTGCACATGCTTCAATATACTTCAAATTAACACATTGATAATCTCTAAAATACGACGATTTGATTATGAATAAATCTGTCAACATGTCTTCGATATGATACATATAATTTCAAAGCTTTTCTAAACAACTAATTGGACATGTCCTCCAGTAATTTTCGGTTGATTTTCATCTAATACCATTTTTAATTCAAAATACTCATTGTGCTAATTTTTTTTATTAAAAGGAGAACATGTTTGAAGTTTATCTTGTTTGTAAGCCTTTTCCTGTCTTCACACGAGGAATTTACTTAAACGGAACCATTAAATGTCAGTTTGTTAGCTACTCACCATCGAATTATTATTTAAACTTACCATAAGGCAAATATAGAAATGCAACATCAACTAATTATACAATAAAAAATATAAATAATAGTAAAAGTTCGCAAAATTATTCTGAAAGTTCCAACTTTCCTAATATTCATCCTATTTTAAAACTTGAGGAGAATGGTGATATATGTTTGTGGCAGTCTCATAGTTTTAACATGAGTTGCATAGTTGCTAAATTATAGTTCTTGAATGTAGTATTATTTCACCAATTAAAATTTATTACGGTTTGTAATACGTTTATCACAACGATTTGACTCATTAATAACATTGACTGTAGTCACTTAATCAACCATTAAATAGTTTATTTCCTCTAATACGAAATCCAATTAGATCAATCACAGGAATATGTAAATATCAAAATCTAATTTCTTTCATCCTGATTAGAGCTAGCAACTAAAATGAAGAACTAGTAATATCTCATAATAACCAATATATTTCAGTGTATAACTGTACCACTTTCTAATAATATACCGAGTACTCATGTTTATTAAAATATAATGTAGCTACTCAAACAGTTAGTCTACTAGGAGACTATATAAAGTTTTCTCAAAATGTATGTTCTATAAATTTAAAATTTCAGTGTTTAAGACTATGAAGTGTAAAATAAGTTTTTGTTACTATCATGATTACTGTCCTTAGTCAAAAAATGTTAAAATAATAGAAATAGAAGTTTTACTTACATTGCTGCACATATTGCAACAAATAACATTGATGCGCATACAAGAAAGACAGCACCAGGAAAGTATGAAAGAGTAGCAGAATAAACCAAAGGTAAAGCGCTTACACTGATTAATAGACCGATTCTTGATATGAAGGAAGCGAATGAAAGAATCAGACCTTCAAAGAATAATAAATGAGATAATTACTGATTGTTAAAATCATAGATCAACAATTTTTCCGGTTTAAAGGCACTGTATATGTTGATCAGATCTGACATAATGTCTCCGTTAAAGTGAATATTTCAATGAGACTTCAACTTATGGACAAACCAATTAAATTTATGATAACAGGTCTCGGATTTCGGAGCAAAGTTCATTCATTCATTTGGTTAAACAGCATTTCGGCATTTTAGCTGATGTCAGTTCGTGATGAAAATCCTAAATATAATTCCTAACCCTGCACATCCTTATACTTCACACAACTTTATAACCCTCGTTAAACCTAATGAAGAGGTGAACATTCTCAAGGTCACTTTAGCGTCGCTCAAAGGCCCTCCATAAATTATAGTCTCAGCATTATTTCATATGTCACTTGAAAAGTAATAACATGCTAGCAATCTGGTCAAGTTTATGTTCGTTATTAAATCATCAAGTCAGAGAGCATTTTTCCTATTCTCTATAATTATTTCTCTTAATTCTTATTTATCATATCCATGATCACATCACTCACTAGCCTTATCTCTATTTCGAGGTTATTAAAATATGTACTTCAATTAAATGCGGTAGGATTAGATTTCTAAACTCAACACTATTTCATATCGATTAAGTGTTTATAAATAAATGACCGTGACCAGTGGAGCTAATCAATGTCGGGTAGAGACAGGTATCTACCTCAGTACAATTGAAATATGATCGTTCAATTTTGTGGATTGCATGAGGTTAGACATTAACACCGTTGGATCCCGGACGATTCAGTGGTCTATAGGTTAAGCGTTCGCTCGTGAGACTGATAGCCCTGGGTTCGAATCTCGTGAGTGGGATCGTGAATGCGCACTGCTGATGAGTCCCACAGTAGGACGAAACAGTCTTTCAGTGCTTCCAGGTTTTCAATGGTGGTCTAACATCAATCGGTTCATTATCTCAATCAAAATAATAGGACATCAAATTGGTTTCTTATTACCTTCATTCACAGAAAATTCACTGAGTTGCATTTTTTTTCGAAATAAAAAATGATATCACTTAGTGATCTTCTAATGTTTTAGTATAAAGTTTTGTTTTATTGTTTTTTAGAATTAAGTATGAATTTCTGGGTTTCATTAAAAAAAGTATCAAAGACTTTAATTGGTGAAGAATATATTTGTGATTTTTAGGAAAACTGCATAAATATTAAAAGACCTATGGCTGACTGCAGTTTTGTTGAATTACTTGATCCGCAATTGTTTACTATTGTTATAAAATGTATCATGACAATAGGAAACTTGAATATTACTCTTCAGAGTTTTATATTGTCTATATCTGCTATTTACAATGTTTGGTAACATATTTTGTATAAAACATATTAATTATTTTAAAATTATGGATACAGATTTAACTTGCCTGTTCGCTGAGTCCCACTCCAATTGGTGATCAGTGTACGCAATAAAGGAAAATTAATATTTTTCGCTAGTTTCGGAACTAAGCCTGTAAATGTAATAATACATTAGATATTTACCATGATTTCACAATTATATAGCTGGTACTAAACCTTCCCAACTCCGCCTGGAGTCCTTCCGGGGGCTACTGCCGGTCCCAAGCCCGGATAAAGGAGGAGGGTTGGGCATGGAGTTAGCGTCCCCATCCCGTAGAAAACTAACTCGCTAAAAAAACGCTAACCAGAAAAATTATTCAAAAACCTTCCCTATACAGCTACTAACTAAATTTTCATAAAACTGTAAAGTGTTTATGGATCATTTTATCAAATAATCTGGGCAGTGTTAATCAAGATCATCAATCGATCAATGTTAGACCACCGTTGAAAACGTGTAAGCACTGGACGGCTGTTTTGTTCTAGTATAGGACTCCTCAGTAATCGTGATCTAGCATTGATCGATTCATGATCTCAATAAAAAAGAAAACAATTTCCATAACTTCATACTTATAAGCATCGTCATTATGTTTTCTCATTTTCAATGAGAATATAACTTGTATTTAATGCAAATACAAAGATTTACTTATTTGGTCACTTAACAAAGTTTACTTTTATTCCTACAATGATTTCGTGAATAAGTTGTCTTTCAGCTACTCCGAAATTCATTTAATCCTGCTAAAGGTAGGTAGATCACAGCACCCAGCTATCACTAAAACTGCATAAGTTGTTAAATATCAAAATACTATCACTGAGATCCTGAACCTCCTAGGACGAAATGGCTGTCCATTGCTTACAAGTTTTGATAATTGTCTGACTTAGATCGGTTCGGGATTTTACTTACTGACTTACTTACGCCTATTACTCCTCATGGAAGAGCATAGGTCATCCACCAGCACTCTCCATACAACCCTGTCCCAAGCAATCCTTTCAAGCTCTTTCCAGTTGTTATTCATTCTTTTCATATCCGCTTCTATTTTCCGGCGTAATGTGTTCTTTGGCCTTCCTCTTTTGCGCTTCCCTTCAGGATTTCAACTTTGGGCTTGCCTTATGATGCAGTTTGGTGATTTCCGTAATGTATGTCCTATCCAATTTCAATGTCTTTTTCCGAATTTCCTCTTCAGCTGGAAGCCGGTTTGTCCTTTCTAACAGTAGACTATTGCTGATGGTGTCCGGTCTGTGGATTTTGAGTATCTTGCGTAGACAACTAATTATAAATACTTGAATCTTTTTGATGATGAACGTGGTAGTTTTCGACGTTTCAGCTCCGTATAGTAGAATTGTTCGTATTGAAGGTTTTGACTTTGATATTGTTTGCCTGACAATTGGTTTGAATTCCATGTTTTCTTCGATTGTAGGAATGCGGCCCTTGCTTTGCCAATCCTCATCTTTACGTCTGCATCCAATCCTCCTTGTTCATCGATGATACTTCCTCAGCATTTTAATTAAACTCAACAACCCCATACTTACAATTAAAATAATATACAATAATCTTGATACTTTCGGAAATATATTAATTTGATAAAATTACAATACTTACCAATATAAACAATTAAATTCGCTGTAAACGATGAGAACAAATATGCTATTGTCATCATAATTCTATTTAACAACATTAAACTTAATGCAAATATAAGTAAATTGAACAATCTATTCTGAAACCTAAAATTGATTTTATTTTCATCTGGATTATTATCGTCATCATCATTCAATTCATGATTGTTTTTATTATTCAAACTTGTTGATTGAGATAACTGAATTCTTGCCAGTATATTTACAATTATTATAGATAATAATGCTGAACATGCTTCCGTTATACCACTAAATGAATAGATAGATAGAAATATTGGAATAGAATGAATACAATAATACAGAACGGTTATAAAAAACATGTTAAAAATATCATTGTGATTATTAACTAACTGATTAATCAATTATTCCAATAATTTCTTCTCAGAATAAATTCTGCGTTGTAAGTGACCTACCTAGCAACAAAACTGACCACGGTATGGGAAACGAACTGCTTGCTCAAACAAATTAAAATCGACAGATCCTCTTTTCTCAGTGGCTCCAACTGCATTTAGCAAATTACATGTATGTGCCAAAGCACATACACTGGAAGAACCGAGAGCACAGTACATGTTCGCATTTCTGAGCATGTTCCAAAGAAATTGAGACTGCGAGGGACTAAGGCTCTCAACAGTGCAATAGCTCGGCATTTACTCGACACCATTGACATTCCTCACGCTTTTAAAATTATTGGCAGACAAAGAAATACTGCTTCTCTCTGCTTTACTGAAGTGATTGCGAGAAAAAAAACTCAAACCGGATCTATGTATTCAAAAAGAGACAGTAGTAAACTTATTACTACCCTGGTAATTCAATTTTTCTTTTGGTCGTTAGTATTATTTTGTTAATGTTTAGTTTGTGTTATCTTTCTCTTCCATTACCGAGTTCTTAAACCACCCCTTCACTCTTGCATTTTCTCTTACTTGTTTCTCTTAAATTATGAGAACTCTTTAAATTCTATTCAATTATTACGTACCCCATCTTATGTAAACCCTTTATTACCTCTAAAACTATCACAATTTATCTTATCTGTTTCTGAACTCCACTCATCTATTACATCAACCATCCTTAAAGTTTCCTTGGTTCTAACACCGAATAAAAAATACTTTGGCGGCCTGTTTGAATATATGGGTTACCTGTTTCTGGCATCAACATATCTCAACAAGTTACCTATCATTTGTTTGTATTAACACATTATTATGGCCCTTATTCACATAACCTATTTAGGAGCGTTTATGAATAATCTACAAGCTTTCGCCGTACAACACACGAAAAAGTACTATCAGAGACATTGTGTTAGATGTCATTATGTATTGAAAATAATGATCATTGTTCAGATTTCGATTCCCGAACAGCTAACATCTAATTGGTGATAACTCAATATTTATCGTCAGGATAGTTTAAGAAATAAAGAGAAGAAACTTGATGAAAAACTTTGTACTGAAAATTCTATAATGTACCAAAAATATGATATTGAATAAAGTCACTAATAATAATGATAATAACATCTGACCTGTTCTTGCATGCATATATATATATAGTTATTATTGATAATCTTTGTCATTTCAATTCTTTACATTCACTTATATCAGTTGTTCCATACTATTTCTTGCCTCATTGTAAAATTCTGATATATATTTGGTTGTAAGCAGCTGATGAGAAACTACGATATATAATGAATTCATATTATTCTGTATCAACGTTTGTTCTGGCTTTATTTAAATTCATAAAGGGAACTAATTGCATGAAATCGATATATGATTGGTTAAAGTGTAAACATGTTACAGTTTTATTCTTTTCATCTAGACATCTGTTTGATAAACATTTATTCATTATTTATTTTAATCAGTTTCCACAAACACACACTATACTTTTATCAGTGATGTTACTCAACACTTTATCATTACTAAATGATGAGATATATCAGGTGGAAGCAATAACATCCGTTATTAGAAAGAAAGAATCAATTACTTGATAGACAATAAATCTACCAACCAACAAATACGAAAATCATATTTGTATGTATAAATACGCTTGACTCGCAAACTAGGATGTCATCAAAATGTTTTCATAAAAACATTAATAATCTTAATAATCGGGACCAAGATAAAAAATAAATATAAATATAAAAAATCAATGGTTATTAGACTATCATTGATATTCTATACTAAATCAATACTTTTCGTAAAAATTTAGCATTTCATTATGGTAATGTGATCAAACTATTCTACTAGTACTAGAGTGTATGCTACTTATGTCGACAGAAATAACTAATATGTAACACTGGTTGAAAATGGAAAACCTGGTAACAAAAGGCTAAGAAGATTGATTTAAAGAGAATAGAAAGGAAAATAAAAAAGAATTGTGAACTGAAAGAATCATAAAGAATGTAAATGAGAAATGATGGAGATTTACAAATGAAGTATTCAGTTTATGGTTCTCATATTTTACCAAGATATTCTGTAATCTTGTATTAAAATAAATTGGTTGTCTCCACATGTGTTCTCGTTCACTGTAGTACTATCTATTTGTTTCCAACGATATACTTAAATCCCAGCAAACATTAAATCCCTTTTTGATTATAGAGTGTTTTCACCTTAATCCAATGGATGGATCACATTTAGATCAGTTAGTCGTCAATTTTTCCAGATTTACACATATCTGTAGTAGGAAACAAAGTCACTGAGTGTTGTGGATGAGATAGACCAATAATTATCATGTAAGTCCAATGGTGTCCTTGGACTTTAAATGGACATTTCCTACTGGTCGATATCCTCCACTTGTTGAATATGTACAAAATGTTGTTTCTATTTTTATGGTACGATGTGTCTGTTTGGTTAGTATATAAATACAGTATGTCTGAAATACAATGATTCATACTCAGAGGCTGAGATTTGTGTTCTGGACTTAACTGGCTGGGATAGACAGGGAATCGGGACCAATCGTAACTCTAGGTCGTCCATTACGTTCGTACGTGTTCACGTGTCATTGAATCTGTCGAAAATACGCTGCTCAACTAGTTTTCAGTCAAGACACAACAATTAGCACAGGGTGAAAATCGACAAAAACTAAAAGTCATAACACTGAGAAAAGTCGAATTCGACATAAGACATTAAAATAATTCCGTTGCTTAAATGAGTCAATATTTAAGCCACTTCTGTAGTCTTGAATACGGACGCGTGTTTTGTCCTATTTGGGATTCGTCAGCCGGATGTACTTGCATCTCAGAGTTGATGTTGACTCTGGGATTGATCAATAGTAGTCCTAAACAACAATCAAATGATTCAAGTAAAAAAAACAAGAGAATTTTATTCTATAGGTTTGTTGATTCCTTAACTAAATTATTTGTTTGAAGGAGGTTTTGTGGAGAATTCATGAGTCAATTGAAGCTAGATCGCCGTGGAAAACTGGAAGCACTAGACGGCCTTTTCGTCCTAGTATGGGACTTCTTAGTAGTGCTTCCAGGTTTTCCATAGTGATCTAGCTTAAACTGACTCATGGATTCAACTATTAAATTATTTGTCTTTATATATTTGTGCTAGTAATAACAAAGAATATATATTTTGATTTCATTAAAAAACATGATATAAAGACTTAAATGTATGAAACGTTAACTATTTAAGTGTGCTGTTTCATTTATCTAATTAGTGTGAACTATGCTTTGTATATGCTGGTCGGCGGCCTATGCTCCATTAGGAGTGACAGGAGTAAGTAACTAAGTAAGTATGTAAGTAAGTGATGCTTTGTATAACACACAGCATGTAATTTGTTATAATCCATGTTATTTCCATATATGTGATTTTATTCTAATTAACAATCAAAATGAGTGCATTGATAATTTATATATCAATGAGTGTATTTTTGAGCATGGTCGTTGTCATCGTGTTTTGGGGTTAATAAATCTTCACTTGTACCAGACTTATTGATTTTACTTCACGTCATAGGAACGACCTCGGTAATTCGGATATAACACATATTGAATATTATAAAAAGTCATTAAATTTATCAATTAAAAACGAAATGGAAGAGTGCCCAAAAAGCGAAATTCTTAAATAAGGTCGTCTGCAAAAATGATAAACAGAGAAATTGGATTAACTTCATAGTACTTGATCAATGTAATTAGTTATGTAAATTGGTCACTTCTTTCACTTAATGAACGATTTTCCAATAACATTTATGGTCCTTTGAAGTAAGATCTGAAGAAATTGACATTTCAGCATTAGTTGAATATTCTGTTTTTATCAATTTCTCTGACTTTAACAAGAGATTGAAAAATCAATCTATGTTGAATGAAGTCAGTTTATTTAGGGTTGTAAGATCAAAATGTCACGGACAAAACTATTGATTTATGACCCAAATAATTAATACACAAGTTTCATGCAAATATAAAAGGATTTAGCCGTGGTTAGAAATTTTAATATTGCAGATAAATCAAAATGAACATAATGGTATCTGATCACCTACCATAATTGGTTTATTTGAATTACATAAGTTTAAAATTCCACCAGTATTATCACCGAATAAAATTGTAATCATGCGATCGAAAACATAAGCACTGACGTTTGGAAACATTTCAATGTATAGCGTTTTGATTGGAACACCTTTAACACTAATACGACTGAATATGAATTGATGTATTAAGAAGCCATATAAATGACGTGTACAATATTTGAACCATAACATAGGTACCCAGTGTTGAGATCGACATTCATTTTTCAAAATGAGGTAACTAAGGATTTCACATCTTAAAGTATCCCAAGTGGCAGAAATAATTCAGGCTGCATCATTCCTCATTTTAATCACAGCGGTAGATTGATAAAATCAAATTATCTCGGTTCTAAGAAGGATAATATAGTAACTATTGTGTATTCATGTAGAAATATTTCAGATGTTTCAACGTACATTAGCAGTTGTGGAATTTGTTACATTCCGAGAAGCTTTATCCCTATAGTAAATTTCGTTCTAAGTATTTCAAGGTCAATAACTTCTTTTTATATCCAATTTTACTACCAAACACTCTTACGCACTTATGTGTTGTCAAAGGTTTGCAAACTATCTATACTACTTAGCATTTTAACAGTAGCAAAAATAGGAATGCAATAATTTCAGTAGACGGTATACAATCTCAGAATTAAGATGTCATACATCAATATCCAAGTACATATGTATCACTTTTGCATATTCGTTTGTCTGACTTTTTCGTTCATAATAAATAAATAGTCCGTTTAATCATCAATGTTTTTATTACTTAGTCGAACTTATTACATTAGTTGATTCCGATATGAATCATTGCTTCAGGCTGGTATATTCGTGTTCTCACAGG